TAAGAAACTTCGTAATGGCTGTGCAAAGGATAATTAAAGAATCTCTCATTTATCGAACGTAAATAATTTCCGTTAAAAATAAATTCAGTACGTTAAATTAACAAAAAAATTACATTACATCATGCAACGTTAAATCTATCTATCAATTATTATCGAAACAAATATCGACGCTTCGAGCTTTTTATTTTCCAATTGCCAATTAATTTTAGACAAATTACCATGACCTACTAATATACAATTGTGTTTTGAAACGCCGTATATCAAAAGTGGGGGAGGGAAGCAGGTTTTTCGGGGCGCGAGCGAGATCTAATTGGATACGGAATGAACGAAATCCTGTGGCAAAAATCGCATCGGCGGAATTTGAAATTCATATCTTCCGGCTGCGCGAAAGGATGCGTCGCATCCGTCATCTTTTTCTGCCGGCCAGGAGAGCGCATAATTGCACCGCTGCATAAACCTCGTCCTGCTTGGACGTCGTGTCCGGGTCGATGCCATTGGCCGAGGAGGTCGAAGAAATCTTTATCATGGTGCCCCGTACCTTGTTACATCATCGATGAAATTTTTGAATCTTCGAAGACGGGCAAATAATTTTTCTCTTCTTAAATATTTATCCATCCATCTTTAGGCCGCCGTTATTATAAATTCGAGGGGTGCAGCAAAGATTGTAAGAGGTATATATAATAATTTATTCTCTTTCAAACGAATAAGAAATAGATAACGTTTTTTCCAAATTTTTCCAAGTAGGAATTAAATTAGTGCATGAAAATGATACCATTCGAGAATCGTTAAATAAATTAAAAAAATAGATATAGAAACAATCATATGAAAAAAAATAAAGTATCGTCGATCTCCTTTTACTCTTATTAATTCTCTTCCGTAATAAGTTGAAGTTTATCGAAAACTGTCAACTAACAATCGACGTGACGATCGGATGAACGTCGATTCCCATTTTTTTTTTCTCTCTCAATTCTTATTTTTCGAGGATCAATATAACAACATCGTCGAGGGGCTTTTTATCTGATTTTAATTGCAATTAATTTCTAATTCATATGTTTACTTATACGCGAATCTGCTCTTCTCTCTTCCCCATTCTCCGTTACGAATTAATGCGTATTAACGTTAGACGATTTTAACGATTAAGATCAAGGGTCGCGCTAATTAAAAGCGCAGACGTTTCTCGTTATAAGTATAATTATTATTTTAAATAAATAAAGAAATTTAACGCGCGTAGCATCTATATTTTTTATGATAAAATATTTTAACACATTCGAAGAAGTTGATCATTCTCTTAGATTGCATTCGTACAACATGTAATTTAATTTTCGCTAATTTGTTTTTATAAAACGTTATTATTAATAATATAATAATATATTTTCACGTACAATTTGTCTAGAAAATTTATTTTTAAATTTGCGTTAATTTTTGAAAATGAACTATTCTTCTATCCAAGAGAGACCAAAAATCCAAAAACAATAATCGATATATCTTCTCTTTTACTCTTCATCGCATTGCATAAAAAGCATTTTTTCTTAGATTTGTTTCTATTTCGAAATAAGATGATATTCCATACGGCTATTAAAAATTTCATTATCCAATTTTTCTTTTAAACGTGTACAAACCATCGAATTAATAACAATTAACGATCATCTAATTTCCCTCCCCCGATCCTTCGAGCAATACAATAATAATAAGTCTTAAAACTTTCTAAAAGATGGGGTACATAAATGGCCGCGTGTGATCCGACATATAATACCCGGTAACTTCAAAATTGCCTTAAAGGAACACCACGAAGCTGAAGGGAGGAAATTTATACATAATGGAATAATTTCTCTAATATAATAATAGAATCATCGTCTGAACGAGTGAAAGAGAGTAAAAAAAAAGAAAGAAAGGAAAGAAGAAGAAGGAGGAGGGGGAGGGAGAAGAATGGAAGAGTTTCGTGGCTCGATTTCGGCTTCACGGGTCGTCGATTAACCAGAAGAGGCGATGAAAGAGTTCGATGAAATAATGACGGGACCAGGTCGATAAATAGTACGCCTCTGCCGTACTCTCAGGGGCGGAGTGAGGCAGGCAGGTGGAAGGGATTCGACGGGGCCCTTCGGGGCCCGCGTTAATGCCGGCCAACGGAAGACAGCTATCAAAAGCCCGTATTTAAATATTATCAGTGAAATTACAGTGCTCACTGCTCGCGAACGCTGCTCGATCATTACCGACTGGCAATTCGACCTCTTTAATCGCCGTTGTCAATACTAATCGACATCGTCGTTATTTAATATTCCTTCCCACTCCCCTTCCTCCCCTCCACCTTTTTATTCCGCTTCGCGTCGAGAATTGTTTCGTTTAAAAAATATGTATTTTAATAACGGGGGGAGGACTTTATTCGAACCACTCTCCGTTACAAGAAGAACTGCTTGGAAAATTTTGTAAGATGTTCGTTTCAACGTTTTATAATACATCGTCTCGTTAAATGATAAATTTGTTTATCTGCATATTGTGCATATTATGCAATAATTCCGTTATTCGTCAATTTTACCAAAAAAAAAAAAAAAAAAAANAAAAAAAAAAAAAAAAAACCAAAATCTCCCCACTTTCTAATTACTCACAAATCGCCTACGATACTTAATTAAAATTAATATAAATATATATCTGCTTTTGATCAATACGAAAATTCATTAATCAAACGAATTTCGTACTTTTATCTTAACGCTTAACGCGAGAATCCCCTCTTAATTATAAATCCCTCGCACCCGATAATTAAAACCGATCAATCTCGCTCTAAACAAACAATATACCCATCCGCTCGGCTAATTTCTAAAAAGGAAAAAAAGAAAAGAAGAAGAAAAAAAAAACACAACAACCCACACTCTAATTCAACCCATCGTTCAACACGGATCGTAATGTTAATTCATTCAATTCTCACGGCGTCCGATTCGAATCCTAAACACGATCAATTAACGAACACCGTTACCCTTCCGTAATCGGACGATCTGGCGATCTGTGCACCGTCCAACACCCGAGCCCAGGTATATTAACCTCGACGTTTATGCCCGACGTTGTCCTCAACCTTTTCGTAATCGCGATTACGGTGCACGGTAAGACGAAAAACAGCGGCGCGGATTAGGTGATTTTTCAGCCGCGGTATAAATAAAAACAGCCGCCGCAGAGTACGCAATTAGGAACCGTCTAGAGGCGAAATATTAATCGGGTCTTGGTATCTCAACTCTCTGCCTAGATACCTCATTAGCATAGCACCGGCGAATGGAGCAACTGCTTGTGTTGCGGAGTACGGGAGGGAGGGGAGAGAGAAATAATTAAAGCTCAACGATCGCTATCTAAATAATTAGAAGTTGGCGTGACTCTGCATAAGGCCGGCGTGTGTACGCGCCGACTCAACTGTCAGATCGTGGAGATTCACCCGAGCCGAGCATAATTAGGAGAGAAATATGAAGGCGAAATATATAAGGCGTGTATATATGTATGTATAGTATGTGTATATATATATATATATTTATTTAAAATATGGGCGACGGATGTGTCAAAATCGTAACGCGAATATTTTTTTTTTCTTTTTTTTGTCATTGGCATATATAAGTGAGGTGAGGTTTGGATCATCTGCTTTCTTGCGCGCGAAAAGTTGCTTGGGAGGAAGTTGAGTGAGAAAAATTAACGTTGGAACGGTGTTTGTAATATTAGCTTTGTAATTTTCTTTTCTTTTTCTTTTTTTTTTTTTTTTATATAAACGTATATTATCGTAGACAATCTGAGAATAATTTTCGTTGCTCCGATTCCTGGGTTACTTGGGGAGTGTGTTGTGAAGAAGAAAAAAGGTGGAACGTGGTTTCTTTGATATTTCGAGGAATCTTGAGAGGATTTTTCACGATCCTTGAACGAAAAAGAAAAGTTTTGGTTGATGGAATTATTTTGAAAAATTTTCCTGTCATCCAGCGCGAGATGCACGCAGGTTTCAAATTAGAGGGAAATTAGAGGGAACGTTTTTCCAGGGTCGAGAGAACACACACGGTGAATTCGCGAATAGAGAGGGAAGGGGCAGGCAGACGTGCTCGGCGGCATTGTCAAAGGGTTGCCTCCAGGAGGCTCGCGAATCACAGATGCAATCAGATAAAGGGCGGTTCTTCTCGGATTACCGTATGCGAGCCCCCGCTGTGTCCACGCACCTTAAACTACCATTCTCACGTGCGGCGACACAAGCGGGGCCCACGTGCTCGAGATACAGTTGAGGCCGACAACGAGCGGATTTCCATCAGGATCAAATTATACAATAATGCATCCAAGGATTGATCTCTCGATCAATTGGGACGTCTTCTTCGTGTTAATTCATTTATATCGGCGCGTTGGATTTTAATTTGGATTCTCCTCAGATAGCGTTTCTTTCTTCAAACAATTAAGTTGTGATACAGTTTTTAAAGATTATATTTTAAAGTTGCAACTTGTCTCCAAATAGAATCTTTCGTTTCGAGAATATTATTCCGATCGATCGAGTATAAATAAATATGTATTAATTTATTTTTGTTACGTGTTTTCTGTTTTTTTAGATAAGATATATCCTTATCTAAGAAAAATTTAGATAAGACGTTCTGTCTGATAAAAATTTTATTAGAATAAAAATTTGCTTGTTGCATTTATTGTACACCTTGAATTCTTATTCTATTAAAATTTTTTCTTTTCACTTTGTATCGAACTGATGATCATTTCAACGATTATTTTTCGAGGATAAATTATTTCGATATACTTGTTCTCTAAAAACAGAAAAAAAAAAAAAGGAAATAAATTAGAATATAAGAAGAATTAATTATTATTATTAATTATCATTACTGGAAATAAATTGAATAACTTGTTTAAAATCTTGTTTAAAAATAATCTCGAACATCTTTATTTTCTTTATATATTCCAAATGATTAATCGTTCCTCGAATAATACTCGTCCAAGCGTGATGATCATATCCATCGTTGGAATCGCAAGAAAATTTAATAATTGTCGAAATCATCAAAGAATCCTTTCCCAAAGTAAGTAACGAAACTATTGTCCACGTATAATGTTCGATTAAACAATCAAACCTCTCTCATCGAATTCGATCACGTCTCTCGGTTATACGCAAGCAATGCACTATGATTACACCTCGAGCCATCTTGATGACGAATCAAGGCAAGCTTCTTGCAAGCTTCGAGGTATGCCGCGTTCAAAGCCGTTCAAAGGCGATCCGTATCGAGTCGGATTCGAATTAATTCTGGCATTCATTCCCCGGCACGGTGGTTATTAAGGTTGATTCTTTATTAAATCTGTACAGGCATGCAAACACGAGATCCAAAGATCCAAAATCCGCCACCATTAAAGGTGGACGTGACTTGGCGGTACGTTGGATCATTCGGTTTAGGATCGATGATAATTTTAATATTTTTTTTTACAAAGAAAAATTCCATTCGACTCGATTAAATACCGATTTAATTCGTGTTTGCAAATTTCTCTTTTTGAACATTCCATTTTTTTCCCCACAATTTAATTGATCCAATCCCAATCGTATTTCGATATAATTAAAATTTCATTATTTTTTTTTTTTTTCCATCGTTTCGAATATAAATTTGAGAACATCGAACCTTAAAACTTTATATTTGAAATTTACCTCGAACTCGCTCGCTAAATTACATTTAAAAAACGAAAGAAAAAAAGAACATCGAAATTGCAAGGATCGATTTCAAATCGTGATATCACGCCATATAATGAAATTGCGTATATCATACGAAGAATCATTGAACTCGCATAAGATTTAATTACACTAACGATTTTCGATTTTACATGTTACTTACATTCTATACGGAACGAATTCTTTTTTTAATCCCCTCCTTATTTATATAAATTAATCAAATCTCGAGTTTTCTTGCATTTGTATTGTACAAATCGAACGTACAAAACGAGCAACCTATATACACAAACACACACACACACACACACACGCGCACATTTTGTTTCTTCTTTCAACGTGTCGAAAGTAACGAACCGATCCATCCGCTATCAATCAGTTCACTTTTTTTTTTTTATTATGGGCGAGATTCGTCGACTCAACGCGTTCCCTCACAGTTGGATAAAACCTGCAACATGTTTCTTGCGTTATTATTCGTTGTATGAAAACGAGAATACCGTTTTGCCGAGACGAATACGTTGTTAGACAGAAACTGTATCACCGACTCTTTGTACTCGAATCGAACGAGATGTTGGTCGATTTTGGATGGAAGAAGACGATCTGGGTGATCGAGTCGGCGAACGATCTATCGATCCTCGTCTTGGACGGGTTCCCGCATTTGTGTGCCTTCAATTGGTAACGTTCGCCATATTGGCGACCGCAGAAATCGCACTTGTACGGTTTTTCCCCGATGTGGCCGTAAATGTGCTTGGCCAGCTTCGTTTTCACGCTGAATCGTGACTTGCACAGGTCACACTCGAATCGTTTCACACCTGTGTGACGATATCTGTGCACCTTCAGGCCCCACGACCTCCTGTAACATTTACCGCAGTCCTCGCATTTATACGGCCTCACTCCTGTAAAAAAAAAAAAAAAAGAAAGAAGAAACACGTCTCTTCTGATTTTTCATTCTCCAATTTTAATCATTAAAAAACGGACAAATGTTTCCATCCATCCTTTTCACCTTTCTCCCTATCGTTATTCTTGTTAACGATCTTTAAAAAAAAAAAAAAATGTCGAGATTCATATTTTATTCATAATTGAAATACCACGATGCCCATGAGTTTAAAATACCAAAGAGAGATCAAAAAATGCCTCTACGTATTTTGCGTTATCATTATTCATCAGCTTGATATTTGAGACTTTTCAATTTTCCATTCTTAACGATCTGAGAGAAGAATCTGTAATTGGAAAAGCTGATCGAAAGGCAAATGAAAGGAGGAGACAGATGGAAAGATATAATGGTGAATATTCTCACAATTATGAGGGGAAAGGAATGACGGAAGGAAACTGTCTGGAGGCGTTGGATAAAACTGTTGCTCCGCACGAACACCACTCTACCCGACTTCCTTCGAGGCGGTTTTTACCTCCTCATATAAAATTCGAGGCCGGTATTGAGACATAAAAATGGCGAGATAAGCGTGTCAGCCGTTCACGCGACTCTGTTACACCCGTTAACCGAGGGAGGGCCGGTATTAATTAGAAAATCAAGGATTATACGCGCAGACTATGGGTCTTACACGCCTGCCAATTAACCCCTTCTCGTCACGGCGGGGGTTTCATGGTGTTCCGCGATCCACGATAGACGTGTGTTTAAACGGCGATAACGTTTCGGTTGTAAACGCTCGGATATTATGGGTCTGAAGGGAAGCTAAGGTCGTTTAAAGGAACGAACGTGTTGGTTGTTTTATTTAATTATTCCATTCCGCCTTTTTTCCCCCTTTTTTTCCTCTTTTTTCTTTCCTTTTTTCCCCTTTTCCTTTTTTCCCCTTTTTCTTTCTTTCTTTTTTTTTCTTTTTTTTTTTTTTTTTTTTTATTTCACGTTTACAAGCATGGACACGTGAAACGGTGGTGAATTAAGAAAATTTTACTGCAGGTTTCCGGGTGTAAAACGTGGTGTGTTATAACTAATTTCGTTCAGGTACTGACTTTTCACGTAAGTCATATCTATTACGTTTCACGTGTATATATATATATATATATATTTATTTCACGCGTATTTATCAAAAACTTCAAGAGGTTATGATTGAAATCTTGAATTTTATGAAAGAAAGAATCAACGTCGCCAGTCGAAAAATCAATCATCGGTATTTTCGTTCGGAAATAAAACTCTGAAAGTTTTGTAAACGAGTGAAATGATGAAAATTTATAGGGGTAAGCGCGTTTCTCAACTTTTTTTCTTTTTTTTCGAATCTCATCTCCATCCAAAATCAATTTCAAACAATAATCTTGGGAGCGATAATAATTTTCTCCCTAGTCTCCTCTTCACGATAATCCGAAATATCTCTTTCCATAAATGAATCTGCGAATATTTTTTCGCTCGGCTGTCTCATCGATCGTATCGTAAATCTTTTCTCAAATCCTCGCAAATATCATCATACGTCGAAAATAAATAAATATATAAATGGAAATTTTCTCATTGCAAAATACTCTCGTTGCGAAATTTCCCATTCGTAAATAATTAGTCATAATTGTGAAAATCGATTTCGGCCGAGGAAGATTTGTGGATGGATTTAATTAAAAAAAAAAAAAAAAAAAAAAAAAAAAAATCTCACCGTAATGGGACAGAATGTGGTGTTTCAAAGCGCCCTTCAGATGGAACCGGTGCTTGCAGATGTCGCACTCGAACCTTCTCACCCCTGTGTGCGTCAACTTGTGCGTCTTCAACACGGAAGATCTCTTGAACTTGGCGGGGCAGAGGTCGCACTCGAACGGCGAGTCGGCTGTGTGAACGATCATGTGCGCCCTCAGGCTGCTCGGCCTGAGGAATCTCTTCTTGCAGATGGAGCACTCGAACGGCTTCACGTTGGTGTGCATCAGCTTGTGATCGCGCAACGACTGCCGGTGGAGCAGCTTCTTCTTGCAGACACCGCACTCGAACGGCCTTCGGCTCGAGTGCACCTCGGCCTGGTGCATCCTCAACTGGTCCCTCTGCTGGAATTCGAGCCGGCCGGTAATTGATTACGGTTTTGCGGAAAGAAGAACCGGTGTCTCGATCTTGTTTCCGTTTCTTCCTTCTCTCGAGAGTTTTTTTTTTATCGGAGATATAGAAAGAAAGATACATTGAATACCTGAAATCGAAGGCTGCAGTGCCTGCATATGAACGCTTTGAACGTCTCGTGAAGACGAAGGTGGTCCTTCAGTGCAGACGACCTTTGGACAAATAAATATCGTGGTTCATGATTATGCAAGTTTGAAAAATTGGGGATATCGAGTTAACGATTGAAACAAAGTGGAATGGACAAGCGACAGATTATTCGTATTAATACATTTCTCGGATAATCAAATCGATTGATCTGATTAATCTCGAAGAAACTGTTGGAGGAAAATAATAATAATACGGAATAATCTCTTTGTACGAATAATTTATAAAACAAGGGAAGATTTTTCGAAACGTCCGTACCGTGAAAATTGTTTCCTGCAGATACCGCACTGGAACAATTTTCCATGGCTGTGCCCCACCATGTGCGTCTTGAACTCCGCCTCATCAGGGAACTCGATCCTGCACACGCTGCAGATCAATCGTTTCCCTGTAGTCAACGCCTCTATGTACTCCTCGAAATCCACATATTCGTCCAGATTCATCTCCTTCTTGATCGGGGGGCAACCTCCCCTTCCCTTCTGCCCCCTCTTGTGCCTCTTCCTCCTCGCCTCGCTCTCGTAAGCGTCGTCAATGTCGAGCTCGTCGTTAGCCGAGAAATTCTCGATCTCGTCGAGCACCTCGGTCTTGATTTTCACCTTGGCCCCAGGAACAAAGTCGGTTATGATTTTCAGATTTATGATCCCTAGAGCGAAATTTCGCAAAGGCGTGGCCGGTCTCGTGGACGTATATCGCGGGATATTGGATAATTTCGCGGCCTCTTCCGCGATGAAACGAGCGGTCTCACGCGGCTGATGTACTGCCGATGTACTCGGTCTTAAATTACGAAAGAAGAAAAAAAAAGAAGGAAAGAAAGAAAGAAAGAAAAGAGAAGAAAAGAGAGAGAAAAGTTGGAGAGAGGGCGGGGTAAAAGGGAAAAACGTTGCGTCGTATACTTTTTGTTTGGAAATGTTGGTTACAACTTTTATATAATCGATTATGCAATTCGCAGATATTGCGATATATATGTATATATATAACTGGAGGATAAAGAATCGAGTTACGGGCTAATAAAAATTACTCCAACTTGTACGTGAAAGCCTCAAAATTTTTTTTTTTTGAGAGAGAAATTATCTTACCGTGAATATTGTTTTGTGTAATTGTGTTATTTATGATTTAAAATCTTTCGTTAAAATATATGAAATCGAATGTTAGAATTGTTTATCGTACAGCTACATCTAACAATAATAAATTTAGTTATTAAAATTATACTTTGACGAAAGATTAAAGAGGAAATTCTATGTTTCAGAGATTTATGAAGAATTAATATCGATTCTTTTAGCTTTGAAAATAATGAATGAACATTGTAAACTCACAAATTAAATATTATCGTTATATAATTGAAGTTAGCTGATAATTTGAATAATAATGTTTTATCGATTATTTTACTGTAAAAAATTGCGGATTATAATGAATTATACTTCAACGTGGAATTCGATTCATCGATGCATCTTCGAGAAAAGATTTCATTAAAAAAAAAAACCCATTATGAACAAAATGTATATTGAATTTGTTTGCACAACAAACAAATCGTAAAGATATAATTTTATATATATTTTTACAAGACAATCAAAAATCGTAAATCGATTTATAAAAGTGAAGAAAAATAATTGTAATAAAACTATAATTCCTAACAATTAAATTATTAATATAACGATGTATAAATATTTTTTTTTTTTTTTTAGATTACACAAGCATCATAGCCTCACCCTGTGTAAGTGGTTAAACGATATATCATAACCTTATCAGAGGCTCGTTTCACGCCGATAGTAACCTACTTCTTTGCATCGCACGCAACGTTTCTCCGTCCCTATTATCTTCACCTCTTCGTCCTCTCGAGTTTCCTTGATATCATTGTCGTTACGATCATTGTCTCCCCCCGATCTATCCTCCTCGTTGTTTTCTGACATTCCGTGTCCACGATCGAAGTAAATGGAAACAGATGCGAGAAGGGAGCAAGAGAAGGAGATCGAGAAACAAGGGAGCAACGAAATATTAAATGACTTTCTACCGATATCGAATACATATTTGAGAATGAAACTCTCGAGAAATTAATTTTTTCGTCAATACGTGCGTCGATTATATCGAATATGAAATAATTATTATCGATGTCTTTATTCAGGGCGAGAATCTCGATGATGGACATTGTATCGAGAATAAAAATTATTCAACGTGATATCCGCTAAAAATAATGATTGAAAGTTATTGAGAACATTCTATTCTCTATATTCTTCTATATAGGGAAATATTTTATTACGTTGCGTATCAGAGTGATATTTTTATTTCTAAATAATAAAGAAAAAAAGAAAATAAAGAAAAAATAAACAACAAATGAAAATCATCATTTCGGTTTAGTCATAAGTTTATCTTTGATCGCTTATGCAAACACAGGTGTGGCTATCTTTCAAGGTAACTCTATGTCTCCATTAGATTCGATTTAAATGAATAATACTCGTTGTGATTTCACATCGAATGCAAGTTGAGTAATTTGATTAGATAGATTATTATTTGTAACGCAATTCATATGCATAACTAATTTGAAATGTATGGTTCGGTGAGCAATAATAATATCATTGATTTCACGCGTGAGTTTGATTCAGATCTCTAAATATAATAATTTTTAGGGGGGAATTAAATTTGAAACAATAATCTTAGGAAACATCTCCATCTTGAATTTTCATTCTAATCCAAGTCAATGTTTGTTTTCTTATATATTTTTGATATATATGATGAATCTGTCTTAATTAGTCATCGTAGACTCTAAAATATTTCTAATATCCTTTAATTACGAGACTTGTAAGTATGATGGTGGCGCTAGTGTGCTTCATGGCGGCCCCTGAAAGGCAAATAAAACTTACAATGAGACGTAACGTATTTATGCTGAAAATGGAGGAAGTTTAAGCTGATACAAGTAATTAAAGTGCAATCGTGGTAATTTTTAGTGTATTAATCAGAGCGCTAAGGAAGATTCATAGACACATAACGTAGAGTTATTACATCCCATACACGATTGTGAGTACGTGTTGGCGCGCGCGTGTTCCAGCCAAAAGTGTGCAACTGCTCGCTCGTCTGTAAATTCATAAATAATTATCTCGATATTCGTGAAACGATCTAGACTATTGTACGAGCAGGCTAATTAATTAGAATATAAAACGAAGTAGAAGCAGAGTTCGCGTAGCTCGCGAATAGCGGGCTAGCGAAGAGGATCTCGATGGCTCCTTCTCGATATTTATTAAAATATAACACCCTGTTAAAAAAATCTGGGCTAGAAGAGGAAGAAAAAGAAAATATTTTTCCGTGGAAATTATTGGAGGAATATTGTGGAATATTGAATTTACGAGCTTGTTACAAGATAACAAATCTTGGTATTGTGGTGTATATTTATAAATACAACATTTCTCCTCTTTATCGATGATGCAATCTCGAGCGAACACGCGTTTAAAAGTTTATCTAAATCTATCTATCCAAAGTCGATAATGACGATAAGGGTTGCATTAAACGATAATTGGATATCTAATGGCTTCGTTCTTTTGAATTTTAATAAACTTCGTGTAAACTTTGCAAATTGATTTCATCAAATTTATTTAATTACAGGTATGTCTTCAATTCATTTTGGTGATTTCTCGTCTCGAAATATAAGACGGCATTCTTCGAGATCTCTCGAGGAATTCTTCAAGGATTGAACTTCGATCGAGAATTTTTCGGTAAGTAGTGAAACTGAAATTTTGTGCACAAACAATGGTGGTTAAATGATGGTGAAAAATTCGGATTTCATGGAAGAAATCGCGATATTCTCTCGTGCCAACGTTCTCTTTCCCAACATTCTCGTCCACCATCGACGCCAGGGGGACGAGAATTTCAGTGGAAACTCCTTAGCAGCGGTCAGACATTCGATTCGTTTCGAATTTTGCCACGAACTCGTTAAATACGATATTTAAAGAGAAGAAAGAAACGAGGCTGTATATGGAAACAAGTCGTGGTTAATTAATATAATATAAAATTTCCAAAAAAATTTCAACTTTGAACGTTTGTTTGGAAACGTCAAGAGAAGCGCGCGTGCATTCTTTCTTTAACCGCGATTCGATTCTTTCAAGGATTGGAATTTTCGGAATGTTCAAATTGAAATTCTCGAGATATCAAAAATTCCATTGCAAGCCGTCGAAAAACTTGGATCAAAAGAAAGGGTGATATTTCAACGGTATTAAAAAAAAAAATGGAGTATAATAAAGGTATCAAGTGAGAGATATATAAATTGAAATGGTGGATTCGATCCAAGTAGAGATATATATATATATGTATGTATATAAGAAAAGAGAGCGTTGATTCTTTAAATAATAAATTAAAGCCAATTAAATAACTGATAAAAGAAAGATAGAGAAAAGAGGGAAAAGAAGGAAGGCACGAGCTTTGTGAGAAACATGTCTGAAATTCGTGTATATATGCAAATGTCATGTTTTCCTCGCGAAACGCTCATGCAATATTAAAAAGGAATCGGTTAATTGAGACTCCCGTGGGCTTCTTAATTAGGGAAATTCAGATTCCCAGCTTTTCGTTCCTTCCAGATTATTATTATCTATTTGCAAAATCTGATATGTTGCTTCCTCTTTTCATGGTGATAGGATACGTACTTTAATTTCACCTAAAAGGAAAAAAAAAAGGAAAGAAAGAAAGAAACAGAATTCTATTCTATTATCGATAATTTCGAAAATTTATAAATCGATCGATTTCTCTTTCGCGAAGAAGATATTCTCCAATATTATCGGTTATCTTGTCATTAAAAAAAAAAGAAAAAAGATTGAAGATTTTGTGGCAAAGAGATGAAATTTTTAACAGTTTTTTGAGTTATTACGTGTAATATAATTAAAAAGAAATTCTTTTACATCACGTGGTGAAAGCTGAAAGATGAAAATCCCGATAAAAAGCAATTTAACCAGCAAAGATTTCAGAAATAATTCGCTTTATAAAATAATAAAAATCGAAACCTGTCCTTCCCCTATGAATCGAAGTAATAAAATTTCACCTAAGAAAATTTCAATAAACCACCATGATCATTAACCACCAATCCGAAAAGAAACAAAACGACGAAGCTGAACACAACGTCCAAAAAACCTATAAAAAAAAAAAAAAAAAAGAAACAAGCAAGCAAAAAAAAGAAGACAAACTTCCAATCGTTCCAATCTCTCACCCTCCCTCCCTCTCTTCCTCCCTCCCCCTTCCTCCCTGATCCAGCATCGTCCAGCGTTTTCCCTTTCTCTCTCTCTACATCTCGATCGAGCGCGATTGCGAAAAAAAGGAATCCATCGTGGCAAATAAATCCGCGACATCGCAGCGTGATGCATTCGATTTCATGGAATCGAAGCGGCGGGCGGAGCCGAGCCGGGCCGAGCCGAGCCGAGCCGAGCCGAGCAGAGCAGAGCAGAGCAGAGCAGAGCCGGCCGGTCGCGCGCGTTCGTGTGGGAAACTCGGCGGATGCATTATGTATTTATTGCTTTACTTACTTAGTTGGGAATTACTTTTGCCAGCGTAATGACTTTCAGCCACCGCGACCTATCTTAGGAATGCGATAGGCCTGATTTATCGCTCGGCAGGCGTTTTTCTCGGCCCAGTTTGTCGTTATCCGCTCGTTGTACTTGTACCCCTCTCCCCTTCCTCCTCCCCTCGCCGCTCGAACGGTCCCCAACTCCTCCCCTCGCCGATCTCGTCCGATGAAACCTCGCGTACGAAGAACGATCTCCTCCCCTCCGGGAAAATTCTTCCATCGAAACTCTCCCGCTGGAAGATCGAGCTCCTCCACTTCTTCTCCTTTCCTTCCTCGCGCATCCTTTTACAGGGGATGCAAATGTTTCGAGGAGAATAAGGAAAGGATTTACAATACATTAGTTTGTCTACCCACAGCTGGAGATATTCCAATATTCGGAATTAGGGACGAATTTAATAATCGTTGCGAGTTTAATGACTTTTCCAACACTGTATAATATCAATAATAATTGTAAGTTGAATGAGAATAATTATTTTAAATATATATATATATATATTATATTTAGCCGTTTTCTCGGCTAAGTTCGATTAGGAAAAAGTTATATCCGTGACCGGCCCACGAAAATATAATCGGGGAAATTGGATATATGGGATGGATATCTGGTGGATTAATGAACTAATTATTGCGAGGATACGATCGGTCGATGGTCTGGAGTGTTCTTTCAGCGAGACGACGGCCGTGGAACACGGGCCAGTGAATCGCGCTCACGAGGAATCGCACATATTTTTTCCCTCCTTTTTCATGCAATAATTTCGCTAATTGCCTACCGAGATAGACCGAGGCGGATGAGCATGTGAGTACGCAATAAATATTCGTGATTAATTAACGATGCCAGATGCGCGCTGCGCTCGGTTTCAGATTGGTGGAGCATTCGGTGGGAGGGGAGGGGAGGGGAGGAGGAGGAGGAGGGGCAGAGAGAGAGAGAGAGAGAGAGAGAGAGGGAACGCAGGAGAGGAGGGAATCGAAAATCCAGGGGGGTGTTGTTGCGTTGTTGGGAGTTGCGTTTTAATTGGACGGATCGTAATATAGTTTCTCGGTTTTACACTTCGGACAGTTTTGTAGGCACGCGTCTTTATCTAACCTCGATTATCTCGCTGTTAATATCTGGAACGATAATTTGTCGGGAATATTTATCCCTTCCTGTCTGTCTGATTGTTCTCAATGGAAAAAACTCTTTGCCGAGAAATGCGGTATATATACGTATACACGGGTATATATACGGGTTTATGTAACATGAGTTACACGCGGAATTTTCTTATTCTTATCTTTTTTTAAATTATGCACATTCATATGCATATCAGGAGGAAAGGAAAAAGAAAAAAGGAAAGAATTCTTTCTTCTTAATCTCGCTTCCTACGTTGAAATCACTTA